CAGGTCAGTCTCAACGACATAGTGAGGCCCTGTCTCAAAAAACCAAACAAAAAACTAAATGCCGTCCAGATCCCTCCTGGGCTCTCTTCGCCTTCTCCTGAATCCTCTCACCTGAGCGCCCGGCTTCCCCAGCAGCTGCGGAGGAATGCAGGTGCACCCGTTAACCACTGACATAGCACACGGTCTCCTCGCTGGGGCAGAGAGTGCCGAGTCGGTGACAGACCTGAACTAACCAGCCGGGAGCCCCTGGCCTCCGTCACAGGCAGAGGCGCCCTTGCCGGAACTGGGACTCCCGGTGAGCCCGGTGCGGAGGCTGCAGGAGGTCAGAGGAGTATGTAGCTCTGGGAAGCCTTTTCCCTGCAGCACCGAAGCAGTTGCTGCTAGCTAATTCCAGAGGGGTTTTTTTGTTTTGTTTTTTATCTACTCCTTTAGCATTCATTACTACATGTCCCAGGTGAGGGAAAGGGAGAGAGGGGTCATCCTAAGGTGATGGAGACACAGGTGAACCGACGTTTGCCATCCTGTCTTGAAAACCACACAAGCCGAAAGGAAGTGTGTGTCAGCCAGAGAAATTCATACTGGGCCGAGGACGAGGGCAGAAGCTGTTCCGCAGGCTCTGGCCTTGTGTCTGTCCCCAGCCACCAAGGTGAGGCGCCGCCCAGGCGCTGGGGTCCTCTCCCAGCCCCCAGAGCCCCGCAGGCTGTGGAAGCCAAGGGCTGCTCTGGTTTCTAACCCAATGCTGGCGAGATGGGAAGGGAAAAACCCTGGCTGCTAAGCCCGGGGGCCAAAGCCATGGTCTCCTCTCTGCCCGGGCCGGGACTTGGCCCCGGCTTCGACTGCTCCGGCCTTCTCACTGCTCCGCACCAGCCTCCAGGACGCCTGGCATCGGCCTGGGCCGTGGGCCCCACTCTGTGAAGGCCCCAAGTGCCACTGAACTGTGTGCCCACAATGGGCGACTGTGTGTCCTGCGGATTTCATTTAAAAAAAAAACCAAAATGGAGCCACCTTTGGGGCCTGGTACTGGGCTCCTCGCAGGGCGTGGCCGTGAGGGACAATGTCAGGCCAGCCCGGCCCCGTGGGTCCTCCAGGACCAGATGGGAACTGGGGCTGGGAGGAGCCAGGCTGGGGTGGCCGAGGCCAAGCCGCTCATTTGCATCAGAAGCAGTCGGCTTCTCCCTGTGCCTCAACAGGACACAATGGACAGTTGTTTGCTGGCTCAGCAGATCAGTCACAGGGAGAGAGCGACAGAACCCGTGATGGATGGCCTGGGCTGGGGGGCAGCCCACCCTCCTGTGCCCCAGGCCTTGGGGACTCTCATTTTCACATAGTGACTGGGCCTTGGAGAGCAAAACAGGCCCTTTTATTTATTTATTTTTGTAGCACTGGGGATTGAATCCAGGGTCTTCACAGTGAGCCACAGTCTCAGATCTTTATTTTAAAATTGCAGTCCTCCTGCCTCAGCCTCCCAGGCTACTGCAATTACACGTGTGCAACCACCACACCCAGTGTGAAACCGCTCATTTGACAGAGGAGGGGACTGAGGTGTTAAGAGTGGACACGAGACTTGCTGAAAGCCCAACAGTGAGCTCATGGCGGTTTCACGCTTCTAGAACCTTCCAGGCTGTCATTCAGGGCGCTACCTTTGCCTCCCCTTTCCCTTCTGGTGCCCTGATTCTGTTCTGGGCTTGGGTTCCATCCTCCCCTCTCCTGTGTCCGTCTAATCCCTGCTTTCTCGGGGCCAGCCGTGCCTCTCTGCTTTCCCAAGCATCCTGGGTAATTCCCAAGCTGCTGCTTTCAGCTTTTTGTGACACAGTCTTGCTCTGAAGCCCAGGCTGACCCGGAACCCTCCTCGACCCTCCTGCCTCAGCCTCTGAAGTGCGGGGATCACAGGCCTGCGCCCTTAGACTTCCCCTTGACCCTTGACCTCTGCTTCAGGGGGAGGGGCCGGGACAGCAACATGTACTTCATGTACTTCGTCCTTGCAGTCTTGTGAGCGCCATGCTTCTAGGGGAAATAGGCTCAGAGGGACTCAGTCCCTGCCCACGGAGGCCCAGCTGGCAGAGGGTGGAAGACACAGGCTTAGGGCCATCTTCCTGTCCTCTCCTGTTCTCTCCCTCCAGGCCCCTCTCGGCTGCCACCGCTGGCAGCGCCCCCATTGTGCAGGGCCCCCAGCTGCAGACCCCCTCCTGCTGAGAACCCCTCCTGCAGAGGTCGAGGCTGCAGAGCCTGGGTCTGTGTCCCACTGGGAGGGGTGTCGGGGTGAGTGGTGTCTGCCTGCGAACAGAAGGCCTCCGGTGTCATCCTGACGCTGAATGAAGAACTCCCCGATTATTCGCTCAGTCTCATTAATATGCAGACAGACATCTGTTATTTAGGAGACAACAGCACAGGCCTTGGGGGGCGGGGCCTGGCTCCCTGGTCTCCGGCTTGGGGGAGGCAGCTGCCTGGGACCCGCCTCCTCCAGGACTGAAGGCCCTGCTGGACCCTCTCCCCACCCTGGAGGACAGCAAGGAGAGGCCGGCCACAGACAGGAGAGGAGCTGAAATTGCAAAGGAAAGTGCCGAACAAGCTCTTCGCGGGGCCGGGCACAGCTACCCCACTGTCGACCCTGGGAAACTGAAGATGCCGCTTAGGCTGGGCCTCCTCTCCCAGTCCACAGGAGAGTCCAGGGAGCGGGGTGGGGGGGGTGCGTTACTATGGCAACGTGGGGTCCTCACTCAAGGCTCTTACAGAGAAGTAGGCAGTTCAGAAAGATGGAGACCCGAGGACCTCGGCCTTTGGAGGGGCAGCTGAGGGTCCCCCAGCTCCTAAGACAGAGGTGGGACCCTCGGCCTTTGGAAGGGCAGCTGAGGGTCCCCCAGCTCCTAAGACAGAGGTGGGACCGACCGACACGGCCACCTCCCCTTCCATCTCCTGAGTCCCAGCACCAGCCCCACACCGACCAGGACACTTTTCCAGGTACCCACAAGCCAGGCCTGGAACCTCTGGAGGCCCCACCTCTTGCCCCATGGCTGTGCACGGTGATGACATGGTCCTCAGCAGCACAGTGGGGTCCACGCAGGACACAAGCCCTGCCCCTTTCTTTTGGCAACCCTGGGGATTGAACCAAGGGCCTTTGCACTGAGCCACATGCCCAGTCCTTTTTTACTTTTTATTTTTGAGAGATAGTCTCACTAAGTTCCTAAGTTATCCAGGCAAGACTTCAACTTGTGATCCTCCTGCCTTAGCCTCCCAGAGTCCTGGGATGACAGGCACACACCACCGCTGTGCTCCTGCTGATTAACCCCTTTTCCAGGTGTGAAAACAGGCTTCTCTCTGGGGCTCCTCCTGCCTCCACCAGCTGACTGCTGAGGTTAAAACTGGAGCAGAAATACAGTGAGGGAGAGATTAGCTAGTACTTTATTCCATTAAATGATTAAGGTGGCTACATTGTTTCCCAAACTGCATGGAATTTGTGGGGGAAACAGCTGTGGCAGCGGAAGCCACTGCAGCTCCTGTACCTGGGTTCTGGTGGCCACTTGTATGGGACACTGAGGACCAGGAGCAGCCCCTCCCGGTCCTCCTCCCTGACATAGGTTCTTAGAGGGGACCCAGCATCTATCCCCAGAGGGACTGGCAGTGTATTGAACTTTGGGGGTTCCTGGGCTGATTTATCTTCCTAATTATGTTTGCTTTTGGAGGCTGTTGAAATTTGTTCTCATTCCCTGAGCGCAGAGGCATGGAGGGGAGGGTGGGGAGCAGAGGGCCTGAATGCCCTGTGATCTGGAGGCTTTGCAGGCTTTCTCCAAAGTGGAGAAGAAACTGGTGTGGCTCACACCTGTGATCTCAGCACTCCAGAGGCTGAGGCAGGAAGGTCTCCAGGAGTTTAAGGCTGGCCTGAGTTACACAATGAGTGGAAGTCCAGCTTGAACTACATAGCTGGACTCTGCCTCAAAAACAAAACAAAAGAGGGCCAGGGATTTAGCTCAGTGGTTCCACCACCTGCCTTGCAAGTGTAAGGACTGAAGTTTGATCCCTGGTACCAAAAACAAAACAAAACAAAACGGCCAGGAATTTAGCTCAGTGGTGCTGCACCTGCCTCACAAGAGCATGGTCCTGAGTTTGATCCCTGGTATGAGAAAAAAACAGGCTGGGCATGGTGGTGCACGCCTATAATCCCAGCACTCGGGAGGCTGAGGCAGGAGGATCACTGTGAGTTCGAGACCAGCCTGGGCTACATAGTTCCAGATCAATCTCAACTACATAGTGAGACCCTGTCTTAAAAAAAAAAAAAAAAAGCAAAAAACCCCACACAAACCAAATCTGGCCACTTCACTTTCTGCCTGAAGTCCCTAGTGGTTCCTCCCATCCTCAGAATGAGGTCCCGTTGCCTTCCTGGGCCCTGCAGTGCCTCAGTGTACCTCCCTGCCACCTCTCGAAGTTCATTCTCATGTCCCGTGCTGCACCTGCTAGACCTTTTGCCCAGAACATCTTTCCTAACCCCTCCCTGCCTAGCAAACTCCTCTTCAACCGTCAGGACCCTCCCAGAGGTGTGTGTACGAACACCTCTCAGCCCAGACACCATCACGCCGGGCACCACTCCTCTAGATAGCGGTCCTCCTTGCCTCCAAGCCAGCATGTGGCACACAGGGTGCATCAGGAGAGTAAGGACAGAGCACAAGGTGTGGGAGAACCAGCTATGGCAAGGGTAGGGAGGGAGCAGCCTGGTTCTGAGGAGAAAGAGAAAGTCAGCAAAAACAGGCCAGGGAGGGGAAACAGGACAATCTGCAGCCTGACTCCGGCACCCAGGCCACACCGTCCTGCCTGCTGCCCCTTGCTGTCACCCTCCAGGGGTGCAGCCCATGCTCCCAGGCCTTCTGAAGCCCGGGATCCAGCTGCTGACTGCGTGGCAGACTCAGGCCCGTGTGGGGTGTGTCCTGGTCCCGCCAACTCCACTCCCTCCTGGGTGTCAGGGCCTGGCCAAGCACAGGGGGACCCTGACACCGAGGCCTGCACGCCTCATGGGCTGGAGTGAAGCGTCCCAGGGCCTCCCATGCCTGAGTCTGGCTCCTAAGATCGCTCCGATCCACGCTGCTCCGTCGCTGCAGGTGGACCCGACCCCGCAAGTGGTGCCCCCTTCACGCAGACACAACTCCAGCCACAGCCATTTTCCATGGACGTGGCCTTTATTTGGGGACCGTCATGGCAGGGCAGGAGGGCAGGGCTGTGAGGAGGGGCTTCCCTAGCCTGGAGTCCTGGTGCATGGGGCCTGGAGGTGAGGAGTGGGCAGTGAGAGAGGAGAGGAGAGCGAGCTCCTGCACAGATGCCTGCCGTGGGGTGGGACAGAAGGCAGGGCTGGGGCGTGGGGAAGGAGGTGCCCTTCATGGGGGAGACAGCGAGGTCTCGGGTGACGTGGCTTCCCAGTGCCTGCTGCCCACCAGCTCCCTCCCGCCACCTCCCGTGAGCTCAAGTCCCAGCAGAGGGGGCAGAAGGGTGTGGCACCGGTGACACTGCTGCCTGCCTCGCTGCCCGCCGGGTGCCCCCTGCCCTCTGCCCTCACATGAGGCTGCAGCTCTTGGCCCGGTCCTTGTGCCTCTCGCCCTCACTGCCCCGCTCCAGCCGGCCCGAGAGTGGTGTGGATCGCTGCAGCCCTCGGCGTGAGTCGGTGCGGCGCAGCTGCCGGTGGCCACGGCCGAGCGATGCCACGGTAGCCACGTGGAAGACGTCCCTGACGCTGCGCTCCGAGGACCGGGAGGAGCACTCCACGTAGGACACGGCGCCCACCTGCTTGGCCAGCACGGTGCCCTGGGAACAGGATCGCAGGAGAAGGTGAGCAGGGGCCTGGGGGACCACGTGCGCAGGGTTCGAATCAGACAGCAGGTGTCACAGGACCAGGTCAGAGACCAGAAGCCAAGGCATAAGCACGGGACGGGTACTGGGGTTTTGCTTTTGTTTTTCACAGGACTGAGGACTGGAGCCAGGAGTGACGCACTGCACCACATCCCCAGCCCTTTTTTATCTTTAATTTTGAGGTTTTGCTGAATCACTAGTGCCCAGGCTTGGTCAGTGCTCCTGTGGTGACTGCAGGCGTGCACCCCCACACCCTGCTGGGTATCAGGGACTGAGGGGTCCGAGGCTAGAGATCCAGGCTCTGACTGGGTCAGATGTTGGGGCCCCACCTGCTCGTGCGTGACAGGGATGAGCCTCTGCTTGGACAGCTCCCGCAGCGTGGCCAGGTCGGTCCGCATGTCCAGTTTACAGCCGACCAGCACCACCTTGGCATTGGGGCAGAACTCCTGTGTCTCCCCCTGCCACTGTGGGGAGGACAGAGTGACGAGGCAGAAGCAGGCACAGGAAGGCCCACCCTTCTCAGCGCACAGGAAGCACATCTCTCCGAGAGTACCCACATGGCTGGAGGGTTTGGGCGTCCAAGAAGGGAAGGAGAGCCTGCAGGGGCTGGGGCTCCTGCCTCAGTGGCGGGGAAGGCCTGCCACCCTGAACCGCCCCTTCTTGCACTGCCCTGGGAACAGAGCGGCCACCTGCCGCCGACTTCTGGCCACCCCTGATCTCTTCTCCTGGAAACAGGGTCTGGGGAGACGGCCTCTTTCCTGAGCCCCAGCCAGCATCCCACACCCCAGGAGAAGGGACAGCAATGTGTCCGTCCCCAGTGCTCTTCCCTGTCAGCTCCCTCCTCCTTGAGCAGCTCCGAGGCTACTCAGGAAGGACAGAGCAGGAGGCCCCAGCACAGCACCCAGCCAGCTGCCTGGCCCCACCTTCTTGAGGACATTGTCCAGCGTCTCTGGACGGCTGATGTCAAAGCAGATGAGCACGGCATCTGAGTCTGGGTAGGCCAGGGGCCGGACATTGTCGTAGTAAGAGGAACCTTAGGAAGGACAGGAGCAAAGGGACAATTGTGGGCCCTCACGGTGGCAGCCTGGGGGGACAGAGACCAAGGGACCAAGGTGTGCAAGTGCTGGGATCACAGGCAGTGCCACCACGCCCGGGGAGTTTTGATTTTTTTTTTTTTGTACTTTAATTTTAACCCTTTTGTTTCTTTATTTTTGCAGTATTGGGGATTGAACCCAAAGCCTCACACGGACCTACATCCCCAGCCCCCACCCCTCTTTTTCAAATTTTGAGATAGCGTCTTGCTGAGTTTCTCAGTTGCCCGGGCGGGGCTTGAACTTGTGACCTTCCTGCCTCAGCCTTCCAGTGTGTTGGAATTACAGTTGTACGACTATGCCAGCTTGACTTTTGGAACGCTCTGAGACACTCAGGAATTTCTGCACGTCTTTCTGACTTTGTCAGATGCCCTATAAAGCCCTCCAGGGAAGTGTGTGAAATAAGTCTTCTCCTTTTGCAGGAGGTGAGGAGCAAGGCCAGGGAGAGCTCTCCCTCCTCTCTTGGCCTGGGACTTCTCCAGCTCGGACAGGCAGGAAAAGGCTGCATGAGTCCCCCAGCAGACTGGCTAAGGGGAGAGTGGGCCCCAGGGTTTCTCCTTTAGGACAGTCGCTGTCCAGCCCAGGAAGTCCTGCCTCAGTTTCCCTGGCACTAAGTAGAACACTGATACTCCTTTCCTTTGGATTGGATGCGTGTGCTGCGCTGGCCTGGAATCTGGGGCCCTGCGGAGCGGGGGTCGGGCTGGGACTGGAGGCCAGGCGACCGCGGGGACTGGGTTACCTGAGGTGTCCCACATGTTGAGCTCGATGCGGCGCTTGTCGATCTCGAAGCTCGCGGTGTAGTTCTCAAAGACGGTGGGGACGTAGCTCTGCGGACGGTCGGGGTGAGCCGCGGGCCCGGCAGAAGTTGGTCTGGGCCGGCGGGGGAC